TCTCTCTCTCTCACACACACACACACACACACACGCACACACACACACACACACACACACACACACGCATATACATTCTCCTGTCTATTGATGGGGAGCGCCACTTGCTGGAAACTAGGTCCAGCGTCCCATGAACATCTTGAATAAAGCACCAACCGGCACCCCCCCCACTCACACTCTTCGAGTTGTGTATTGCGAACATGACAAAACATACATACAATATAATCAATACCTTACCCTTCCCGAACCACATAAACAAACGAAATACGGGGTATACACAACTCGAAGAGTGTGTGGGGGGGGGGATGCATGTTACCCCCTGCCCTTATCGGCGGTAGTCAGGGAGTAGGGTGGGGCCACCGTTGGGGGGGGGAGTCTAATGCAAAGACGGAGCATTTTGGTAGTAGCTGCGCCTCCCGCCTACTTCCCCGACCGCCATCGAGTAGCAGCGGTGACTATGGCAAGCACTCTCCCGCACACCGCTCCACTACTCCGGAAATGCACAAAAAACAAAAATCATGGCGACGTATTCGCAGCCCTAAGACTGCGGTATAGTGGGCTTCGACGTCTGTGTCAAGGTGTCGCATTTTTTGCGGCGGGCGACAGGACGCAAAGTGGGTTTTTAAGGGGCAAAAAAAATTGGGGGACCAGTCCTTGGCAAAATTGCGGACTACCTACAACTAGCTCTGGTAGTCTTGAAACTTTCGAAAAAAAAAAGGACCGGTCCTCAGGTTGAAGCGGTGTCGGCGCGAATACCCTTACAAGGGTATCCGCCCTGGATTTTGCAAGTGACGGAAAATAGCTTTGGTTAAAAATTTAGTATTTTACGCGAGGCGCGTGCGTCTGTGGCCAAGGCTGACCGAATGGTTGGCGAGGATAGAGAGTGTGTGGGCGATCATATTTTTGAGGCGCGCACGATCTTCTTATTTGTTGATGATTGAAGAGTCGGTGTGACCGCCGACCAGATTTTTCTCTTCTGATTAAATAGGGATTAAAAAGATTACGTCTCGTTGGTTAACGTGCTTGCCTGTGACCTGTGCGTACGTATGGAGGACGACATCGACAACAATGTGACTTCTGAAAGCGTTTCGGTAGGTCGGCGCGTTGCGCTCTGTCCGTTTATTTAGGCGCCCATTAGAACCAAACTCAGACTTGGGCTCTACACCAGCGGTTACGACGTCTGACTTTCATCTGAGAGGATCAAGGATCGAGATCAAGCGGCGATGACGCGGGAATGTCAGAGTGGCGCGAAGGGACCGAGGGGGTTGAGGGCCCGACGGGGCTGTCGCCCTTGGGTTTGTCGTGGTGGCGTCGGAATGACGCACGCGGTTTAAAGGCCCTAAATACTTCTATTATTTATCGTCATTGATATTCATTTTTATGTTAAGTTGTCTTTTGAATAAAGACATGACGCCGGGTATAGGGGCCGGTGATGTTGACTATGTACAACCTACGTTTCGGGTCCGGCGAGGTCGCCCGGGGGTGTGTTGTATTCGCCGGGGGGGGCATGGAGTGTGGCCGCAAACCGTTTCGGGATTGCGCCGAAGTACCCCGTTATGGTGTTCCGGGGGTCTCCGTAGCAGCCACATCCGTGCTCAAGGGAGCTGTACCCACCCGCGGGGGCCTTTTCCACTTCGGTCTCCCAAGTTCTCATTGAAATGTTTGCTACTACTACCAAGATTCGCGCTAAGACCCGCCTTACCGGGCCTTATGTTGTGAGTCCCGCAACAGGCCCGCGCTTTTGGTGTCGCAGCTTGATGTGAGAATGTCTGTTGGTGGCCAAAAAGGAGACCAATCCGGCCTGAGAAGAGTGGGCCAGCTGGGTTTCGCTGCGGTACTGCTGCAATCCGTTCGTCGGGGCTGGGTATAGGGGCAAAAAGAACTAGTCAGGCCGTGGCAGTCGGCCCCCCCCCCCCCCCGCGGCTTCCACAGGGTAGCCAAAGTGAGGGAGCGGTCCTACCATTGGGCTATATGACCGAGCGCCACTACGAAGGCAGTGGCGGGGCGGAACTGATAGCGCTACTGGGCATCGAGCACTGAGTTGGCAAGTCGAGGTAGTAAACGTCGGGCGCTGCGCTAGTCGCAGCGGGCTAGGTCGGGCAACACGGTAACAGCGGCTGGGACCTTTGGGTAAAAATAGGGCCGGGTCGTTATGACCACCTGCAGGAGCGTGAGCACCGTAATAGCAGCAGGGCAACGAGAGTTAAAGTAAGTGAGAGGGGGGGGGTTAACCCGGACGTAGGGCGGTGCCGGGTAGTTGCAGACGAAAATGGATGGTGAAGGGGCTGGTCGGGCGCTGAGACAGCGCAGCTACAGGTGCCAGGCAGAGCTAGTGGGCGGGCGCAAGAGGGTTGAGGCAGCCGGCAGGGAAAGTGGGAGCGAAGCC